AACAATTATACCAACCTGGAATGAGCACATCAATGTTTCATCAACACTCATCATTGCACCAGCATTATCAAATTCTCCACAATAGTTGGGAGCTGAGAACAATGTTACTAACTGTCGTTTGGCAAAAAATTCATATCCATCTTCTACAACCTAAAAAYAAGAAGAGCATATCTTTTGAATACAATKGCACGAATTACATAACTGAAACCCCTCATGCCAGACTGGAATCCTTCAAAAAACATATTTGTTCATAGTTTTATCAGTCATTTGGAAACAACTTATCAGACACACCCATATATAAACTGTGATGCTTGAGTAAATACACAACAGTCCTTCTATTACCATAAATTGTCTTCAACTTATTACTTCAACATTCTTYAAGAAAAGAACCCAATACTTAATGCTTCTGTTTTTCCATAGATGTACTACAATCAAAGTCTCGTAGTAATAATAACATTTGTCTATCTTAAAAATGACGTAACAGAAAATTGTAATGACATTATATTGAACTTATTTTTTGGGAAAACTACATATAGCTATTAGAGTAAAGAATGTTTTTACAAGTTAATGCAAATGAGATATTATAAACTGTTAATGACTACAAAATAATCCCTATATATTTGAGGTGTTGTGGGTTGGACTGAATGACATTCCTGTCAAGATCCCAYGAARGAAACATCCATACTGTGTATTCAAGTAGGTTTTATTTGAATATTTTTTCAAKAATTTTWTTTGACTTAGAAAGGCGAAAATCAAACATTGGAAGTGTGGTTCATACAACAAATTACAAGTGCAATATCCCATTAACCTCATTAAAGGCATTGGACTTTTGTGAGCTTTGATACAAARGTTTGACACATTTCTGACACAAATAATTCTATCAACACAATTTTCACATGTACACTGGCAATCAGGCTATCAGTCAAGCTGTACTAARTGTATTCCAATCAGAAAACTTGTGAAAGACATCAATAACAACATCTGTTCGGAATGATCCCTATGAAGAGCATTTGCTCTACCACAAAATCTATTTTCAGGAAAATGATTGACCATAACTGAGTGGGCAGCTYACCACCCCATTGATTTCAAAAGTACACCTGTAGTTTATCATTGTTATTTGGTGTAAAATAATTATTTTAACCATCAACTTTCACATCACTGACATGCTTTCAGAGGGGTTTCACTATGGTATTGCAATAAAAATAATCCTGACATTCTGATTTATTATGTCAGGAAACATGAATTTAAACAAATAAATGTATAAATGTRCTCATTGATTGACCAGTACATTATKATTYTTTGTTTAGACAAGGTAGTAGTTAAATTACCTGATGTGCTCTGCATATAAGATCTAAGTCATGTTTATGAAGGAACTTTGCTACAATATCTGGTCCAAATGTAAAGGAAACACCTCTGTCGTTCTCTCCCCAACCTTGTACATCTTTGTCAGGATCAGACCACAGTAAATCACAAAGAAGACCTGAAAATAACCAGTGACATTCAATAATAATATCAGAACAAACATTTACATACAATGATTATTATAAGAAGCAACATCTCCGACACTTTTCACTGTTTTGTGTAAAGTCAGGTAATTTTCACTGAAGCAACGTTTTATCTCTTCTTATCAATTCAAACTTTTAAACCACATTTTCTAACATAGTGAAACATTGTCAAACAAGTCCAAAGTTCAGGGAATAAGTTTATTCTATATTACATACAGTTAACATTTAGTTTAATAGAATTAAGTAATAAAATGCCTGTCACACTGGGATCTTGGGTTAGTTGAAACAAATATGGAAACAAACTGAGGTTTACCAACAGAGTTTACCAGCAGACACAAAACCAAGATAATTTTAACACAAAAGATTGTTTCATCTGTCTGAATAAGAATTCTAGACATTAACAGATGAATTTCAGTTACTTGGAAACCATAACAGAGAAAGATTCAGAACACACACGGAGAAACATGTTATTGCACGTCATTCTCTTCTATTTGCAGAATAATTTCTGGCAAGTATCTATAAATATTGTGGACAAGAATGAAAGTTGTTCTTATACATTTTTGGAAGTAGTTGTTTCCTGTTCAAGAAATATATGACTTTAATGTTTCTAAATGAAAAGAGCTTTCTGGATATTTTCTTACTGTATGTTGACACTTCATAAACGAAAATCGTTCTTATGTTTCTAGTTTTTTAGCACCGATCTACTGGATTTAATTTCCTATTTCAGATATAATCACAACCACAAATTGCAGACAGGGAAGGTTTTGATGTAATTACTGRCTGTAAATTTATTGTGAGCCTATGGAATAGAGCAGTTTGTGAACAATAAATGCTCTAGTATATAACCACATGAATTATTAATTGATAGGAACGTTGCAAAAGAAAAATGGCTTTTGCTACATAAAAACGAAACAAAAAGATAGCAAGCCTACTTAATCACKCTTATGATAAAATCAAGCGTTCAATWCGAASARGACTTCACAGTGAGACCCGTTTTTAGCGCATTAGCTACGTAGTTTAGATCTCCATTTGTCAATATCGATAAGTAAACATTACAAGCGAGAGAACGCTTSAAGACTTAAATGTGCAAATGAAACACAACTCGGGTGCTCGAAAAGGCCTATTATCAAGAACGAGGACTTGATATATAGGAAGGACCTTTCATCCTAAATTGACCGAGCTTTTGAAGTTAATTTGTTTGCAATATGACGAAATACACTACCTTGATCGGGTACGTCTGTTGGTCGCATTATTCGACGAATCTGTTCCATCGACTGAAGGTCGGGCGATAAGCCTGCGAAAAAATATATATCAACTCTCRATTTCCTCTATTTCTTGAGCTATTCTTTGATATCCATTAAAAAAATGTTGTACTTGTACAAAAATGAGTTAAATACCTCCGTGACAACAGAAAATTTTTTCGTCTAGGATCGCAGCAACAGGAAGACAGTTGAAACAATCGGTAAATGTTTTCCATAATTTAATATTGTAACGTCGTTTGCCTACCAAGAAAAAGATAAAACAAGGAAAACAATCATCAATTGAGGAAATGATGAAACGCTTTTCACCGAGGGAAGGTTTATATTCCCCATRAAAAAGATCACTACMAGAAACTGGGAGTGACGTGAATAGTTTCTGTAAACCGTTTTGTTSTAATACTTACATTCGTCGTAGAATCCGTAGATACGATTGATACTTGCGCATTCGTGATTGCCACGGAGAAGGAAAAAGTTTTCCGGGTACTTGATTTTGTAAGCTAAGAGAAGACATATGGTTTCCAAAGACTGTTTGCCTCTGTCGACGTAATCTCCGAGGAAGAGATAGTTCGATTCAGGAGGAAAGCCGCCATATTCGAAGAGTCTAAGCAGATCGTAATATTGCCCGTGAATATCTCCTGCGGTAGATAGAGAAAGAAAATAACGTAAATACGATACATTTAATGGCTGAAAACAAAGATTTCAAAATTATTTTGAAACATATCGGTTTATGCCACAAGCTTTTACACACCACAGATTTTGAGGGGAGCTTCTAGTTCAAGAAGGATGGGCTGACTTAGAAAAATTTCTCTTGATTTCAAACACAACCCTCGAATTTCAGCTTCAGTTAATTGTACATTCTTTCCTGGACGAGATCCTCGAACTGAAAACAAGATAACAAGACCAATCCATTATGAAGTGAACCGAATTATCATAATCTCAACTGAAACCGAAGAAGAGCCGAGTTGCGAAATATACCTTCCAAAAGCCGGGTAATAATACTATCGACATTCAACTTTTCTGTTTCTGCCATTCCCTGTAACAATTATGTAATAACTTTACTTCTTGAAGATGCAATAAGAGTCTATCCAAAGGCAATCCTAACGTCGGATGGAAGAGGATTGTATTTGGATACCTAACGACAAAGATGGCGGCCCAAGTCTAGCACTACCGGTTCCCTCGGGCCTCTGACGTCATAACGGTTACTTTTTGACACAACAGGTTGTGGAATGGAACTAACTGGATCATGGATTATGACCGATTACGGAATAACCAGTTTAATCTATTGATCAATTTAAGAATTTTTTTTAACAATTTCTGAAATTTATAATTAAAAAGTAAGTATAGAATGAGCTTGCTCTCGAATCATTTGAAATACAAATATAATTTATRCAAATATTGTCATACAGAAATTATCAACATGAAAAGCTAATCGCTACATGCATTCAGAGATATATTTTTTACAATTTTTGACATGAAAAAAATTTTAGAATGAAAAAACTTGGAAAAATTAGAAAATTGGAGGAGACCTTTGGTAACCAGGCGTTCATCGTTCATTATTCGGGCGTGGTTACAAAGCWCTAGGTACACGAGGGAAGCTGTMGAAAAATTGGAAAGAAAGGTTTTTTTTATAAGTTGAAATTTTCGCTTCTTCAGCTGTTATTTAATAGTATAAAAAGTATAAAATATGTTTGTTCGAACATTTATTAGTCGGTCAAGTCGCATTCTATTGTCAGGAAGAAGTTTGATTGCAAARCCTGCGACAGGAACAAGATGGTGGTCGGTTTTGTCTGCGACCACTAGAACAGTTTCACAAAAACCTTTTGTGGGTGGCKTGTGTGCTTGTTCTAAAATATGTGCCTGTGGTGCGCACAAGATAACACAAGGTAATAATCAACCAAATTTACAAGGATTTTGATCTCATGTGGAAAGGAAGTTTGACAGACAACAAGCTTATGTCAGTCTAAACCTATGCAGCYTATATGTGCTTCTGATTGGTCGGTTTACTGTGTGAAAATGGGAAAAAGCCATCAAAACGATTTTTTGTAACACAAAATCATAAAGGATCCAGGGTCACACTGTTTGCTATAGGGCCGTGGTCCAAAGGCTTCCCTTTCAAACATCACTGCAAKATTTTGCTTATGTTTTAATCGTAATAAGGAAAAGCTTGCTCWGTATTATCCCTTTATGCTGTATGAATGGAGATATTGTCAGATTCAACTGAAAAATGAAAGATGGAAACTGAGTGTGAATAAATATTTGAAGTCATCTCGTTTTTCATATATGAAAAAAACTAAAATAGCACTACATTTAATGGTGGTGGACTATTTCTTTTTACAGCAGCAACCCAAAAATGTACACCCCTTAAAAAAGACATACAGTCCAATCTCCTGTAAGCGGATACCCTTGGGAAACGAAAAAAGTGTCCGCAAGTCGAAATGTCAATCTAATAGAAAGGGATCTTGAAACAGTTAAACAACATCAGATATTCTTTTTTAGGAGATAAAGATCTTCTGGGTTTCCTCAGCGATGAAATAAAATTTGAGAAAGATTCTTCCAAGGCTGCTCCTCCATTAGACGGCTTTTCTGTAAGAATATATACATGTTTTGTATCATTGTGCTCTTGTATAGGTGCAAAACACCAAGGTTTTGTTTGGGCTCAAGCCAAAAGACAGATTTCCATRGTTTGGTATTTCCTGACTAAACAGTTTTCTGATCATTTTTAGGCAACACATGATGGTACAGTTGTTACTCTAGAGAGAGAAATCAATGGTGAAAAGTGAGTTATCCAGGGAATTTGTCAGTCAATTTCTTGTGAAATAGATCAGTTTCTGTGGGGACCTTATTAGTATGGTCATTCTTGGGTGGCTGCACACCTTAAATCTTCATCCAAGATTTTTCATGCATGTCTCAGTTGACAATATTTGTAAAATTGCAAAGTTTTGCAAAGATTGCACAGAATGAWTTTGCTAAATTTGTAAATTTGCTTCCTTCCCACCATCCCCCATTTTGTGTTTTGAAGTGACTTATACTTACTGAATGCTCTTTAAGTGCCAATAGCACTGTATTCGGGAAGGAAAGGGGATGGAATTAATGTTACGGTGAAATATTATCAACCTTTTTGTTCAGGATTGTAGTATCGATTGTTTAATAAAATCATGTCTCAAACATTTTAATAGGATTGTGGTAACATTTGATGTTAACCAAAATATCAATGAAGATGAGGCATATRTCAGTGGTGAAGAATCAGAAGACGAGAAATCTGGTAGCCTAGATGATTCTGCACAGGCAGGAAATGTATGTGTAACTGGTTCCAATCCCAAAAATTATATTTTTTACTCTCAAGGCATACACCCCTATTTCTTTCAGAATTTTGGGAAGCTCTTTTAAGAGCTTAAAAGGGGGTAGAGGACTTGGAATTGGTTTTGGATTGACGATGGTACAAGTTTTAGAATTTTAGGGGATGAAGGGTAATGACAGATCAAGTTGATGGATGGAGGGGGCTTATGCACATCCTCCTGAGAAGGGAAAAAATCAAGCAAACATTTCACATGCACTCCCCCTAAGAAAACATTGTTCAMTGATCTAAACAAAATTAAACACAGCTGCTATTTAAAAAACTAAAAAATAATTGAGCTAGAAAAAAATTTCCCATGGAATGTTCCATTCCTAATGATAAACATACTTGTACCTTGATTTGGCAGCCTATTTATAGCTGTTTTTCTCTATTTCAGATTGTATCTTATCCATATTTTACAGTTGACATCACAAAGAGCAATGTAAGTCACATCATATTTGTATAGCACCTTGGACTTTTTGGATATGAGCGCTCTATATAAATAATKATTGTTTTCATTTTAGGGCAAAACATTGYGTTTCACTTGTGAATACAATCAAGGAGTTATGACCAAGACAGATAATGCAGTTGATGATGATGATGAATTATTTCAAGTTGTAAATGTATCAGTAATGTCGAGCCCTGACGCAGTCGACTCTAAAGGTCTTTATGCAGCAGAAACAGAAAATCTTGATCCTGTAAGTATGCTTTATCATGATTTAAAAGGAACACTAATAGTGATATCAGTTGTTTATGATTTCCTCATGCAGTATTTGAATTCTATTGGTGGGCTAAAGGGCCATGGTCAATAGCCAACTTGCAAATTTTGYCTCAGTAGTCACACTCAAAGGAATCAAGATGAGGCRCCATTCATAAAGCTCAGTCATCCGTGAATAGACAATAGTTTTTCACAATTGACTGAGCTTTGCWCACAGAGCCTTGCCTTGATTCTTTGGTATTTGACAACTGTAGTGAAATTMRCAAATTGGCTATTGAAATTCARTGGAGTAGTGTTTTAGATTTTTCATATATGGAAAATGAGGTGATTCCAGATATCTATTCTCAATCCGTTTCCATCTTTTGTTTTGATTTTTTCTTATATTATGCTGTATGTTTATTCAAACATAAATAAAAGCTAATGAAGGATGCCATGGCTTTTTGATGAGAAGCTCAARTTTTAGTTTGGAACCTGTACCCCTGTACCGTAAACAATCAAAAAACTATCTATGAGTTGACAAAATGCTGTGTTTTGTTCCAGAACCTTTACACCATGCTTCTAAACATGTTGGCAGAAAGAGGTGTTGACAGTGGTTTTACTCAACAATTGTTAGAATACAGCACTGCCCTGGAGCATCACTATTACATTAAATTCCTTGAAGACTTGGAGAACTTTATCAAACAAAAGTAGACATAAACAGAGTGTTCTGACAGTACAAATTAAAGCCAATTGAACATAATTAACTATGATTTGAAATATTGGAACATTTTGCCCAACCAGTAAGCACTTAGGGAAAACTCTTTTATAATAAAGGATGACGATGGTCAGTGCCATTAAAAATCTTTGAGATGGTCCAGTGTAATTTTAGCTATTTYTATGAAGAACAAAATGATCRAAGTCTATTTTTTAATGTCAAGARTACCGTGAACTTCTTCATACCAACATCTTTCWTATTTTCCCAATGGAAATTCAAAAGCTCTGGCTAGAAATGATAACTAATGACCCAAAATCTGAGTTGTATGATATATGCATACTTATGGGAATTTTTGAACCAAGCAATCAAAGCCTCATTCGCCACTAACTAGAGCCTTTAGTTTTCTGTCGGGAAACTGAGAAGGTGTGAGAATGACCATGACCATCCAATTTAAATCGTTTAAGTCCCAAATTCTTGCCTTATGGTGATTCTGGAAGTACACACCATTTAGGGCATGTTGACATGATAGAGGTTGCAATTGTTATATTGTGACAACTCTTTCAGGTTTGATTAAACAATAATAGAAAGGAAGACTACCTAATGAACACAGATAATGTGTCCTCTGYTTGGATCTATGAAGCATTTCTTTAATTACTTCACTGTAAGGTTATAGTATTCTTTGTTTTCATTGTACGTCACAGTGGCCATCTTGGAGGGATTTTARCRAAGGATTTCTCATTATATCTATTGTTCATTCCTCCAAAATGGCTGCCAATCTTTTATCTTTTGAATCTCATGGGAAAACAATCAATTATTGACATAACAGCTATATGGAAAAGTTTATTTTTCCCAGCAAACAGTAAGGGTGAAAAACTGTTTTTGTAGCTAAGCTATTATATAGAGTGTTGGAAAGGAAAACTCTCCACATACCAAGTAGTTTTACAGGACATTAAACCATTAGTACTTCACTTCTATTTTTAATTCATAAGGTTTTTTATTTTTTGGAGGACCATCAATTTTTTTCAGTATCAAGAATGCAACTGAACTTTCCTTTAGTATCAATCAGTTACATGGTACAAGGTAAGGCATATGGCATAAATACAATCCCAGTCACTATGGAGAGAGGAATTCATTTACTAAGTTACTTACTCTTTATCTTAAAGCAAAAGAACTCCTTGATAGCCATACTAATTACCATCCAGTATGGCAGATTTTGTACCATGTGACCAGTTGATACAAAARSCCTATACTGACATTCACAAATGACYCGTATTTGTCTATTTAATTTTCCTGTTCATTTTTACGTAAATGGATAATATTTTACAAATGCAATTTATAAAATGGACTATTCTGAATAACAGGTTTTACAAGATGGCAAAGACTAGTGAATGGTCCTATATCAAGAAATCTAATATTTTTAAAATATTGCTATTTTCAAATCCGATAATAATAAATATAATGTAATCAGGTAGAAAGGGACAGGAAGCCCAACAAAAGGCGAGGCTGCAAAGGAGACTAGTAATCAAGAAACTACTACATTATGGATCATCCAGAGGATCCTCAAAAGTTCAAAATTATTATAATTGATATAATAGCATGATACAGTCCTGTTTGTTAGTCTTGAACACAGGGGTCTCATTGACAGTGCATTATGTTTAGCACCTCTTTCTCTTSRAACTCATTGTTTGTTAGGGTAAATGATAGAATTGACTGGCTTGAATTATGGTAGAACTTCAGTATGATAAATGCCATTTACCCCTCCCAGAATACTACATTCTCTTGGTTATGTACAGGTAAATTGAACAAAAATTCATCATTGTCTATGAATGGTAAAATGTGGTTCTTCTTCATCCTCCTCCTCCTCCTCCTCCTCTTCTTCACTAGTTTCTTGTTCTTTTGTGTCTCCTGTGAAAATATCCATCCATGCAATGCATTACATTGTACATTTTACAACAGATAATAATGTAAGGAATACTTAGTATAACAATTATAGTACCTTGTTTATTTTCAAGTTCTTTCTTTTTCTTTGCAAGGTTTTTCTTCTGCTTCTTTCTCTGTCTAATGTAAAAAAACGAAAATAAATGAATAAATTAATCGGTAGCATTTCGCATACTTCCTTTTTGAACATATCAGAACAGGGACAAAAAATATTAATGATTAAGCCCCGTCTACACGAGCAATTTTTAGGTGACAACTATATGTGGCAATTTTTATTTGTCCATGTGGACAGGCAGCAAATAATTGTTGAAGATTCGCACAAAGTGTGATTTTGCACAGCGGGGATGCCAATAAACAAAGCAAAGTTGGTTGGTTTTAGCTCTTACAACAATAATAATACCATTCTCTCTGTCGATCCGGTCGTTCTGCGTATTATTGCCGTGGCCATCTTGGTTGGTGTGCAAAATGTTGAGACTGGGATTTAGTGTAATGTCAAAATAACTGCCACATTTTATGTGACGCTCGTCCACACGGGCAATTTTTAGTTGTCACATAAAAACTAACATGCCAGCTTTCCAGCAACTACAGTTGTCACATAAAAATTGGTCAATTTTGCTCATCTACAYGGGCAATTAAAAGTTGTCACATAAAAATTGCCACATAAAAATTGCTCGTGTAGACGGGGCTTAATGGTCTGAATACTCACTGCAAATACCTATTGCATCAGGTTATTATCTATTTACAACAGTAACAAGACATTTTTACCTCTTTGCTCTTTTCTTTGCTGTCTTCTCTTCAGCTTTTAATTTGTTTTCTTCTAATTTTTTCTTATAATCCTCATTTTCAGCTTCCTATCATTACAAAAAATGCATAACATTCTACATTGAAAACATATATACACAAAAAAAATATTAAAACCTGTTTTGCTTCTCTTTCTAAATATTCTGTTCTATTATTTTCTCTTCTCCGTGTAGCTCTATAAACATGGAATTCTCCACTTCCTGCCCCAGCACTCGACCCTAAAAAACAATGAACATTTCAATGGTGAACAAACACTAAATATTAAATTATTAGAGTGCAAGTCACATAAGCATGAAACAATTTTTAACTATGTAGTGCTAAATAAGATTTAGTTATCAACTAACTAACAATTGAGAACAATGCTACAAAGGAATTTAAATAATTGGCATAGTGTTTATGCTTTGTTGAATTCTTAGTAGTAGATAACTAAATCTTATTTAGCAATACATATTAAGAATTGTTTCATGCTTATGTGACGTGCACTCTAAAACACTAGATCAAAGTTGATAAACATTGATTATTGTAGGACCTTGTAGACTTCTTTTCATAAGTTACCAAAACATCCTGGCGTTGGTGCTATTTTGATAACCTAAGGAAGGGTCACTTACCCATCACAAACCGAACAAAATCTTTTGGATCTGTTGGTTTCCACTCTTTTCGTTTCTCTGGTATTGGCACATTTTTGTCCTAAAAGTTTTGAGGCAAATTGAAATTTTTCAATTTCTCACCATAATGATGCAGGAATTGGAATACATTCATATGACCATCACATTTTGGCGAGGAGTTGCCTACACTGCGAAAGATTCTGTAAATGTTATCCTCCTCTTGACTTAATATAAGTGAGGCTGACTGTGTACAATAAAATTTTAGATTTTTCGATCACAAAACATATGATACCCTGTCAAGTTTAAAGAAGTTAGCTTTTCAGCTGGCATGTAACTKACCGGATCTTTCATAAGTTTTTCATATTGCAATCTTTGTAAGTCTACAGCCGTTTTTGGCACTATAGGCTTTATAGTTTCTTTCTTTTTCTTATTTGTAAGTTTTGTCTCTTCGTCCGCCATTTTGAAAACAATACTAGTTCTTAGGAATGCGCACAAATTTCCGACCGCGTGAAGCTTAGAACTCAAACACAGGGAGCCCAAGAAATGGTTCAAGTAAAACGCATTTTGCCATTTGTCTTGATGGCATAAACGAAATTCAACAAATTAGGAAATCTTTTTCAGAAGATGGATGGTTTTGWAGAATTTTGAATTACTATTAAGTTTAAGAGCACTATTGAGGAATTCCCTTCCATCTTCCATTCAGTTTGGGATCCCTTTGTTGTGCTTAGATTCCTGATCTGTTGGATGTTCTCCATATTATGATCTCCCCAAAATAAACATGGAGGCCAAAGCTGCCAGTGTTTGCGCTGCTGCTGCTGCTGTTGCTGCTGGTTTCTATATCTATTTTGGACCAGCAACACCGGAAAGAAAATCGAACAAAAGAGGTAAATATAAATCTCGCAAAAACAMTTGAAAATCTGAGGATTGAGATCAAATGTCACACATATGCCAAGGAATGYTTAGGTTTTCTTGCTTTTTAAAAGGAATCTTCAAACGATTTGAATATAACAACAATGTAGGATCGCTTATCCTTCAATATTCACGGATATAAGCAATGTTTCGTCAATAATAATGTATTATTTGATTGATGTGGCGAATTCTATGTATTTGATATACACCATCACTTCATCTGCAAGCTGCTAAGTGGTCATGTTGACATTTCTTGATGGTCGAACATCATAGGATTATCTTAACTTTAAATAATTCATTTTTTCGTGAAATTGATTCAAGTAAGCAACTAAGTTATTTGTAAATAGAAAGGTTCCCAAATAACTCAGTTTTTTTATAATAATGTTATTTAAAAAAAAAAAAAAAATTACATAATGAACTTTCTTCATTTTATTTTAAAGTTTATAATAACGAATTTAAATGGTGATGATCTACAGGAGAAATACTTTTGGCTTATGTCATATTGTGCATTTGCTTCATTGTTTTGGATACTATTAAAAGGTTGGATATTGTAACTAAACTGTATTTATTGTTTCAGGATTATGCGCTGGACTGTACAATATTGGTAATACTTGTTTTATGAATTCTATTTTTCAGGTAAAATTGTCTKTATAATGAAAAACTGACCTTTATGCAAGAAAATAGCAATTTATTTCCATTGTTATTTTTCATATAATATGTAATAATAAATATTTGCTACTCAATCTGCTCCTTTTCATCYACCAATCAGTCAATAAAAGATCTCTGTGAAATTCTGACATTTCATCAAAACATAAACCATTGAGAATTATTATTGATTATTGCTTTTCATTTGTCATTGTAATAAATATGAGTATATTATATAGGGTTTAGCATCATTACAGTCATTTGTCATGTGGCTTGAAGGATATTGTTGGGAATATGGTGAAAAGAAAGAACAAGTCAGACTTGGGAATGTATTGGGGGATCTTTTRAAAGGTATCARTGGGTGAAATTTCACTTCTGTTTTAAAGTCCTGTTTTGTCATTAAACATCTTGTTAGATATATWTTTCTTGTTRTAATGGGTTTTCTCTCAGTACTCAAATAATATTTAAGATATCAATTACAGAGCTAAATCTAGAATGGAATGACGACGAGGCTGCTTTGACTGCAAGACCTCTGATTCAAGTATTACATCATCATGGATGGGTAATTACCCCTGACCAGCAGGTAATGCTGTTACTACTGTATATTAGYAGTAATTGCCATAAGTGTGCTATATAGTTGGATTATTAAGTAAATTCCAGGTTTGGGTGTGCACGCCCTATATATGAGAGTATTATGTGGAAAACATAGTATAAACAGGAATATGCTCCTTGATGCTTAAGACATGTCATGATTAACACTTAAAGATAAAGCATTTAATAGTAATTTATACCAGAGCATAAAAGTAATGAAGCACAAGCTTAAAATTGACAAACAAGTCTTTTRTCAATATTATAAGCACCAAAAAATAGTCACCATGACTGTATTTATTGTTAACATTTTTTCTTGTTAGGATGCTCATGAATTTTTTCAAGTTTTATTCTCAACGTTGGAAGATGAAATGGTATAACATTGAGCTCTCTCTCTTTCTTTGTATTATTTAGCATTTTTGTTTGTGTATTAAGTACTAATAAAGAGACCTTGTACTAGGGACAACTTCCAGCTGTACTTGACTTTAATCGAATTGCCACATTTGAGGTAAATCTACTGACAACCTTCTAAAACTCATTGATAATTCATTATTTCTTAGTCCAATGAGGCTCATGATGAATCCCAATAATACTGATGCTTATATCTTATATATAGAAACGTAATGCGTTATTTATCAGTTCTCTATCAATAGAACTGATGATTAATTCATTAGTGCTTAATCCAACTCATTGATTTGCTAGGTTTTTAATCACTTTACATCAATTTGCAGACATGGACTTAAGCACAGAGTTTTTTATCTTCCCTGTGGGATTAAAATCTTTTCAGTTGTAGCATATTGCAAATGCTCATTAGAAGGTTGATAGTTTCACAACTCTTTATCACCCAATACAACAAGCTCTCTCATTCTCTATGCATGACTTCAAGACTGTTTTTAGCTCAGGAATAGGGATTAATTTCTTCAACAATAATCACATTTGTATTTATCGATTTTGTGCAGAAAGAAAAAGATGAAACAGATGGAAGTGCAGTGCACAGAAATCACAGTAAGCTTCCTAAAAATAACCACTTATATTTACTAGTTATCTTTAATTTTGTTCTTAGTCCCATTCAATACAGATTGCTTAGTTAAATCTTAATTTGCTTTTACTGTTTTATCAAGCTCCAGTTCTTAGACGATGCAGCAGACGGCGAAGTCCATTCAGAGGTCTTATTGCTAGTCAATTAGTATGCAAGACATGTTTAACAAAGGTAAAAACAAAACATAACAAAATTGTGTCATTAGGAATGAAATATCTGCAGCAATATACCTTGCTTGAGTATAATAAAAATAGTAATTGCATTGTGTTGTTTTTTTGTTTCAGTCTCCTGTCAGGTTTGATGGCTGTGATAGTTTGTCACTTAGTTTACCTCCAACGATACAGGTGAACAAGGTTGTTTTTATTTTAAATTTTTATTATTTATAACGAATTATGTCTTGGTTCAGTATTGCCTATTTAGTGAACTTCAATCAAAAAATTGAAATAATCCTTAATGCCATCTCCAGTTCCATCTTGAAAGGACCAACGGTGGCAAGGATCCTTTAACAGTATCAAAGCGAGAATGTTGCTGTTGTAGAAGCTTGTAGTTGTCCATGTTCTAGCTAAAATGCATCTGTCCCTGCAACTCAACTGTTGTCTTCTTATCATAGCTGTATTTCAAGAAGGCACTGGGAACGCCAGAAAGGTGTATTAGAAAACAGTTATTTGAAAAACCATTGTTTTCTTTCAGATTGGATTGAGCATAGAGGAYTTGCTTAGACAGTTTGTATGTTCWGAAACAGTAAATGCTGTGGAATGTAAGGAGTGTGCTCGAAAAGAGAATCAACAAAATGAAACAAAGTCTACCTTTGTTAAGCGCCTTACAATTGGCAAGGTATTGGTTGCAATATCCACGCTTTGACAACCTGTGCCAGATATCATACCAGTGAATCAACTAAATGTATTTATTGCAATGTTCATGGTGGAATCRAAAATCCTCTCTTCTACATTTTTATTTGTTTATATATTTTACCCTTTTTCATTTACTCATCTAAAACCAAAAATTATGTGGGGCTAGCTAATTTGAGAAGTCTAGCTGCAAGTCCATGTACCTCAGTAACTCCACATTATGTGTAATGATTCTATAATAATTTTGCTGTAGGTCCCTCAATGTTTGTGTATCCACATTCAGCGCACATATTGGCACACTGATGGAATACCTTACAAGAATACAATGTAYATCAAATATCCTGAATATCTCAACCTTGCTCCCTTTATGTACATGCCAGCAGCATCGAGTCCAAGGAAGTTTCGACTTGATGTTCCTTTTCCTTATTCTGGTGCTAGTACTCCAGAAGGCTCAATAACRCCTACCAATACAAACGACCTCAAAGCTGAACTTGGTCAGCTATTAACCAGCAGTTTGCTGTCTTCTTTTTCATTTAGTCGACAAAATTCTGAGACAAGGTATTTTGAAATGTRCGTTGATSTAAAGTATGGAGAGGCTAACCGTCTTTTTGAATGTTGCTGTGTGGACATAAAAGTTGACCAACCCTGTTAGGTCAAATTTTGTCTAAAAAAGGTTGTCTTGCCATTGTTCAAACGTTATTTATTCTAAAATTGACTGCCGCATGATCAAAAGTTTAAGACAAAAAAAATAGCTGCTCAACGGGTGTTGCGGAACCGAGAACAAAAGAAATCCACATTGAACAATAAAGCAACTTTTGATRCAGATTAATGATGACGGCGTCCAATATGTCAGTTAATGTTGTGGCCTAAAATTTAGATTTTTTGCTCTTATTCTCAGGTCTTGTAAACCTAAAACAACATCCAGCCATAGCACACATTAATATTATCCTCTTATCTCTCACAGGACGCGTACAGTATATAGATTGACAGCTGTCACCGCCCATCTTGGTGACGTCAACGACGGTCATTACGTCACATATCGTCGATTTGAACCATCTAACAGCAGCAAGCCTTCTTTGTGGGTATACACGTCTGATGACGTTGTTGAAACAGCAACACTAGACCAAGTTTTATCTTGCAATGCATACATGCTATTCTACGAGCGATGTCCAGCAGGATTTGAATTTGAACCATTGTTTGACAAAATAGATGAAGAGGTTACAAAGAATTTTGGATTTGCAGACGATCAAGATTGAAGGAAAACTGTCAGTGAGTTTGTTCAATGACTTGTCCAAACTGAACACTTTTATCATCCTGACAGTTCTACTAGRCAAACTGAACCTCCAGTCAATATAAGCTACGAGAGAAACGACGATTTTAGGCCTGGTTGTTTAAAGGCCGATGGGCGTCATAGGTTTTTGTAATAGATGAGCCCAGGGTAGCGTTCATCGACTTTTAGATAACCCCGCCCTGATCCCAGTTGCAGAAAGGGTGGTAGCTGTAAAGCATCCAAAACCTTCCCGCGGTATAGACTGGACCTCTGCGAAATAATATATGATAAGAAGATAAATTAAGAAGATAAGGACTTCCTGAGCCTGGTGGATTGTGGTTTTTAGTTTCCAGGCTATACTTCATTAATGAATTTGACTGTATGACCAGAACAAGAACAATATATGAACAAACAATTATGGTATATGGCATTTCTGTACGAGATGTTTTTTTACAGATTAGTAGTATTATAGTAGTTTGGTGGATCAATGGGATCAATCTACTCATCTAGAATAAACAATCTGTTTATTTAAAAACAGTTATTTATGACAGTGAATAAACCATAACTCAAAGTGTCTGTGTATGTCGCCTTCTAGCGAAAATAGTGTAATTGCAAGGCCTTAAGGAAAATCCATACTTTCCTTGGAGTCGGGATATCTTTGGTGTTACAAGTTCAAGGTCATATTCCATCAGGATACCCCCAGCAAGCGCAATAAGGCAKCGCTTCGCAAAAGCATCACCAAAACACTTTCTATCTCCGCCTGAGAAACAGCAAAACGAAGGAAGCAATTCTGTGTTTTTTTCTTCCCCGGAACTAGAGGCAGAAATGTAGCGATAAGGGTTGAATTCCTGAGGATTCGAAAAATATTTTGCATCGTTGCAGCAGCTCCAAAAATTAAGAAAAACAAGTGTATCTTGGGGTATTTTGTATCCATGAAGGGTTGTATCTTTGATTGTTTTTCGTGGAATACCAAATGGTAAAATACAAGACGTTCGCAATACTTCATTAATTGTCGCTGTTAAAAGTGACGCACTATCTTTAAGAATGTCATCGGTTAGTTCCTTTTGAATTTCTCGTTGAAGATTTTGATCTGCTGCAAGTCTTGCCACACACCATCCAAAACAAGTGGAAATCTTTTCATATGCATTAAACATGACCTCAGTCAGTAATTCTGCTATCTCATAATGATAATCTAGTGTGTTTTCCTGTAAACTTTGGTCTAAATGATCTCGACATCTTTTTGCATCTGAGCGTAGTATAAAAGCTAAACTTGTTGTATGTTCAGCTTGTTGAAGAAATGATGCCTCGTGAACTTGAAAAACTTTGCGCACAAATTCGTGCAGCTCAGTGACGCGGAGACGTGCTGAATTGATCGTCTTTTTGGACAAAATGCGCATCACGGAAATAAAGTCTGTGCATGCACCGACGTATGCTTTTCGGMTATAGGCGCTAGATGCTTGCTCAAGAATTTCTCGCGCTTCGTAATAGAACAGCCGTGATGTGCAAGGTCCAAACAGGCAGTCCATGACCAAATCTGCAACAGCGACGCGGATGCATTTCTCGGGGTTAAATGCGCTATTTGTTGATTCTTGAATTTCACTAAATTTACCAGTTAAAGTTTGCACCGCTTTTTGAAGTCTTGAACGTGTACACTCTTCGCTATTCAAAAGCTCCTGTAATGATATTTGGGCTTTGTATTTTTGTCGTAAGTAATCAGAGTTGTAATCTGTGATCATAAAGGAGGCTTTACATCCCCAGAGACCAAAGGAATACAACTGAGGGCGACCTGAAAAATCGTGGTTACTTTTATAAAGAACTTGTCTTATGGTGTCCATTGAGTTGACAATAACGACATTTGTTCCTCCAAGGTTTAAGCTGTACACATTGCCATACACTCTTGACAACCAAGCCAGGGTCTTTTGCGGAGAAGATGACCACCGGAATAAATACATACAGCCAATAAAGGGAAATTGTATTGGTCCTGGCATATCCAGATAGTTATTGGATGATAGCTGCCTCTTGAGGTAATGTAGCACAATTATAAGCACTACAATCACTAAAAGTGCAGGTACAGGTGGGACGGCGCACTCTAAAACGGAAAAAATCCCCATGGAGTTGTTTCCTTTTCTGTAAAAACTCAAACTGAATATATTGTGGCTKACAAGAGTCAATTAACAAAAGTAACTCCCAAGAAAAAGTGTGTCTTTTAGCTCCCAATGACTTGTATAACAAAATCATGACAATACTCATTCAAAGTTGTTGTTTGTTTGATTAGACTGGGTTAACCTTCACAGTCCAGTTCCGTTGACCGTGGGCCGTGCTTGGATGAATTATTGAGTTTTCAATGGCATTCAGGGTCTTCAATAGTCATTTGCATTTGACTTATTTGTATTGTGTCCGTTTATAGACGTGTAGGACCTTGACCTTGCAATGATTGCACGATCTGTTTGTATGCATCTCCAAMCATTAAAAGCGCTTTAATAGCAATATGTCTTTCTTACACTTTTACTGTAAGAACAATACACAACGACTTGCATGTGTTAAAGAAGTGTCTGCGTGGCCACAAAAATATATACATCCCGTGTCGTTTTGCTGTATTGGACGTATTGATGCGTGAGGCTAATATGTCCAGGAGAAACACAAAAGAGGATAGACGCAAGAATCAAACACTGAAGGGCAACTTTTTTATTACTAGTATCTGTGCCTCTGCATTTGCGTTACGCTGTACGACTTGAATAAAAGTAGGTCAGACTCTTTTCATGAATATGATGATAAAAAGAAATTTGGGACGCAATGGATTGCAATCGTCACATGCGAGATTCGACGCTCGAAAAGGGCCTTTTCTGGGCGTATTGCATGTCAGTCAAAAACTCATTCGATATCAAGTTTCTAGTTGCGGATCAGTAAATTGCTACATCCACACTAAATGCCCTTGTCTCTTTTGCGCAGCACGGTCCTCTAATGATACCTTTTTTAGAGTGAAAGTAGATATCAAATAAACATGCTATGAGTGGCGGGATTTTATACCAAGCAGTCTTATCCTTAGTACAACTAATAGCACTTTTGGAAACAAACATTAAATGACAGGATTGACGGTTGGGTAACGCTGTTTATTGGCAATATCTGTCGGGCTGCCTGTGTTTAATATCAAAATTAGAAAATGACGTCTTGTTGCCAACCACCAATCAGAAACGTTGTTGACAATACAACTTCCAACTTCCAACGTTCGAAAACTTCAGCAGAATTTTCACTTGTAAAACAGATTCTTTACAGGCTAAAAATCTTTGCATTGCATAAAACAGGTAATCATAAACGCCGTGAAGATATTTTTAAGTGCTGTCATCGAAAATTTTGCGCTGCCGGTCGTGGTTGTTGACTTTAACACGAGAACTTGGAATTAAGAAATTTCCACCCTTTCATCAGCAAAGAAAAAGCTCCTAATTGCAATCAACAGCTCTAAATAATGGCTGAGAACTGTACTAGCGAGAGTTTGCATACTCAAGATCAAGTAGTGGGCGCATCTGGCTCTTCGTGCGACGAGAAGACAGCACTTGAGTACGAATCCAGAACATTGAGATCAGACGTTACAACCGACTACCAAACGACTAGACGTCTTGATCTGAGGTCGAAGGTAAAAATAGTACAATCTACTTATAAATTAATTCTTTGGAAAATTTGAGCCATAAAGCTCACACTTTTTATATTTTTTATGGAGTGGCGACTAAATTTTAAATGAATGATTATATTTTAGTGTTTTCTCTGCATCGCGCACATAGCAACTTCCCAGTCTTCTTGGGAGAGTATTAAAAAGCTTCTTACTCGAGTTATTTTATTTTAATATCTTTAGGGACATTTCAAAGGAGGTGAGATTTCTACGAACGATGGCAACTCACTGTTTCCCAGTGATGATTCCAGCGCCAAACAAGATTGTCAAAATATCCCACTTGAAAAGACAAAAGCTGTGTGCTTTACTATAGAAATTGATAATAACACCTGTACCAGGAGGCCTCCTAAGAGGTTGCTTGCAAAGTCAAGGCACCACAAGAATACAACTACTACACTTGAGTCCCTTAATGACAAACAAATACAAGCAGAGAAACGGAGAAAGGTAAATAAAGTCAGTAGAGTGATTTCTATTTGTTGACAGCTAAACTCCCCCATATGGTAATGAATGAATGTGTCGGTGCCATTGTAATGTTCTTTCATATCTATGTGTGCAGCAACAGAGACAAGAGAAGCTTCAAAGGATCCAAGAAAGACAAGAAGCAGCTAGAAAACTCGCTGAAAATGTTGATATTCTACTGCAGCAAAGAGCACTTGCAATGGGAGTTTTGGATAACAATGTAAAGCAATTACCTTCAAGACAACTTATGGTCACTGCTAATGAAGTTGCAAAACATTTTARAGACCTCACAAAACAGCTGAGCAATGATTTAACTCTAAAAGAGAGATTGGATTTATCCATCAAAGAAAGAATGGAAGGACTCAAGTTGGAGAAATCAACTTTTCCCAAGATGAAATTAAAGCCAGCAAAAACAAAAGATCCCTTGCAAGATGGTAAAAGTGCTTCAACAAATGTTTCCTTCACTGTTGACGTTGGCATGTCAAATGAGGTTCAGAAAAAATCCAYGARACCTGTTTTATCAGGTAAACAGAAAAAAGAATTAACAACAGAAGACTTGGATGAAAAGCAAAGAAAAGCTGAAGAAAGGAGAAATGTATGTATTCTTGGGTTTCAACCCCTGAAGTGAAAATTTATTAGTTGTTCAGTTATTTTCAAAAACCAAGTAGCAAGTCATAAAGAACATAGTCAGATTATCTAGAATACGAGCTTTAAGTCCTGTAACTTTCCAATGAAGATATAAGCAAATAAAGATTTGAAATATTTGGTTAATTYGTATGGGGACGCCATCTTGGATGACAACTTTGATCATCCAAAATGGCRGCTGATTTCAAATTTGGCTTCAAAAACTGGTTTCCTTTGTAAATTTTGATCAATCATGGCTTTATTTATAAAAAAGTCACCTTAATAAGTAAGTTCTTATGGTGAGTAGAATAAATCAAACTCCGCACAAACTTAAACTTTTGTGTTTTGCCATCAAAGCATCATCCTCTGGAACCCAGGGGTAATCTTCTGTCATTCGTTCCTAACTCCCAGAAAAAATACCCCTGGGCACGAAGTCTGTTAGACCTTGTTCTCGATTCGAACAAGGTAAAAAGGTAAACAGTAAAAAGTTTTATTCAGTATTGATCATATTTTCATATTACCAAAATATCATATTCTAAGTCATTCTTTAGCTGTTTATGCAAATTATGTTGAGCCTACATTTTCATTACATTGCAGGAAAGGAAGGAGAGAAGGGTTAAAAGAGTACAAGAAAACCGTGAGGCTCTCATGAAAATGGCCAAGGACATAGAAAGGTTTGAGAGTTTAAAACAAACAATGGAATCTACTCAGGTCAGCCCAAAACAAGTAAAGGAGACAGCTCTCTTGGCAGACAAAATTGCTGATGGATTTGACAGGTTAAGTAAGCGCTACAATGAGGATCTTAAAAGAGCTGAGAACTTCTTCATTGAGCAGCCTTTTGTCATGGGTCCATAACATCTTCTTATGATTAGATGACAGATTTTGTTACAGTTTTTAACATACTTAAGTTTGAATTTGTCCAAAATAAACTGTGTGATGCAGTGTTTCTTTGGTTTCACTTTATGTATGATATGCAAAAGTTGGAGTGTCAATGAATTCAAATTAATTTATAAGTTACAATGAATGAGACTGTACATATGTACACTCAATAAAATTAGCTAAATGTTTTCACACCTAATGGTCATATTTACCATGTCTTGTGGCCTTGATCTGAACATGATCAAGCAGTAATGTTTTAGTCTAATAGACCTCTGAAGCTTTTACGTCATGTACCGTATACACAATGCATTGTAGGATATGTTTGGGACAGAACATGGCGGATTTCTTTTGTTTTCTCTAGAAACTGATCCCACAATGCATTGAAAATTAAATAGTGATGTAAAAGGTTCAGAGGTCTATTGCCACTGTTTTTGTGTCAGTCTTACCATAGGGTGGGATAGGAAGCCCAACATGAAAACGGGTGCAATGCAACTAGCAAATATGTATTAATATATTACTTTTTTGTGTGGAAAGGGATTTGGATGTAAATAGTGTTTCAATTTTGTAATAAATGAATTGAAGTCAATTTGTGGTAGTTTGTTATGCTATGTCCTTGTATTAAAATAATAATAAGTGTTGTTGGCACCAACAAATCACTAAGAGGAGTTACTGAAAGTGTCCATCATTTGGATCAATTCTTTGGACGGCTAAGACTTATCTTTTCTTCACCATAAAACTTAAAATAAATAAATTATGCTGTTTTAGGAACAAAATCAACTTTGTCTCTGTACTTGATGTTATATGGTCCTTCTGAATGAAACAGTTCAGGGTTTTTATCTTCTTCTTTGTCATAAACAGTGGAGATAACTGCTTCTCTTGTTGGTCTTGTCCTCTTAACATGTCTATTGAGTTTTTCTCCATAATACCCCAAACCTCTTTTGCTTGAAGGTTTCTGTCCATCACTAGGAATTGGTTCAACAATCCCTACTTGAGATGAACCAAGACTGCTTCCTTCTCTCCATCCTTGCTTTCTCATGATGCTTCCCCCAAAACCACGAGTGTATTTTTCAAAACCACCAACTCTGTTCAAGTCAATATTTTTGCCRCGTTTCCATTCTTGTTCCACTCTTAGCTGAAGTAGAGTTTTGGCATCTAAGTCTCCAGCCCCTTTTAAAGAACAAATCTAGGAGTTACCACAGTGTTGAAGTATGATCATRTACAAACATTAAGAAGTCATCAAGYTTGAAAAACTARCATTTGAACAGAAAACATTAATTTGCAATCTGAATCATAGAATTAAATGAATTCACTAGAAAGACAGATTTTATTGGGGATTCACGATAAGTTTTATTACCTTCTTCCTCATAAATACCCATATCAACATCCCAGTCATCTACAGTTTCTTCATCAAAATCTGCTTCTTCCTGCTTCTTCCAGAAAGCTGCATCCGTATACCACACCAAGCCACTTCCTCCTTTCTCCCACTTCAGCTCAATATCTTCTTCATATAATCGTTCCTTTGTACGTTCTTGGGATGTGATATCGTTGTGTARACTTGCATGCCTGTCCCACTCTTCAGTTTCATTATCAGAGTTATTTTCATCRACATCAAAGTCAGTAAYATTCTTGCTTTTACTAGTACTTCCCATTGGATTATTTGYGTCTGAATTCACTGTTTGATCTGTGTTTTCTGATTTAGACACATTTTCTWTAGTAGATACTTTAGTATTTTCATTTAATTGAGACTCATGAGACCTTTTTGCAGATCTTTTTTGATGTTTGCTTTCCATCTCTTCAGAATCCTTTTCACTTTCATTGTGGAATTTCTCCTCGTCCTCAARTGAGTCAGCCACTATTCCTCTAGGGCCAAGAATTTCATAATCAAATGGAACATTCCCATACTTTCTTCTCTTGCTTCTTGGAAATGTTAAACCTAATTTTTTAATCAAATGTGGGGGAAACTTGCAGGTTCTTATTAGYTCAATAAAGACAGTTAAAGGAGTCCCTACATTTCCATTTGGCATAATACCAGGAGGGTTCATTTCTAGTAATGTTTTCAGGTCACTTTCAACAAACTGCTCCACAGTTCTGGCTGTTTGCTGTTGTTCTTGCCTGGTTAGATAASTATTCGYTGCCTCTTGACCTGTCACAGAAAAAAAAAACAGTATTTGTTTAACAGAAGGATTTGTGATAGTGAACAACGAAAACATGAAAATGAATTCATGCACCATTACTATTTTGAATACATGGGTAAAAAAATGGAATGGATTAGGATGGAAGAAAAAAAATGAAATAGAAAATATAAAAATTGAGAATTCTATATTTTGTAGTTGACCAACCTTCGGTTTCGCTGCGTATTTTTATCCTTGAAATAAGGRCTTTTCTTTTCAACAACTTCCCTGCTGAATTCGTCCAATTTTGACCACTGTACATTCGAATTAACTCTTCAATTCTATTTWGRTAAACTTTAATGACACAGCAGCAGGTTTTTTCAKCGTCTTTTTCGYATTTATCTAMGTTGMTATTTCTTTGAATCTCAGGTCTGTGACGGTAGTGAAAGCAAATAARCCCTTTGGACTCGATGAATTGCGAGAAAAAGGCTCGAAGATCGGCAGAMCGAAGCTCTGAGGGGATATTCCCAACAATAGCATAACAGAAATCTTCCATTTTGAAGGAATAATGTAGTATTTTTGCATTAGRTCCAAAACTGCGTTGTCAAAAMGTCCACCATCTTTGTTTTTAAAWTGAATACTGCTGAAATCACGCGGGCTCAATATGATGCATTATGGGGAGGTTTCCATGATTGCTTAGCAACAACAGTCGGCCATGTTTTCTTGATAGCAGTAGAGGAAGATTATTAGAAAGTTTTCGAAAAATGCCGATTACAAAGCAACCCAGGAAATCTGAACCTTTATGGAAAGAGTGGGATTATAAAGCACAGAAAAAAGGAATTCATCATACAGTTTACTCTGTGAATGGAGACCAGTATACGGGAGAATGGAACGACAACAAGAAAAACGGTGAGGGCACAAAACTCTTTTTATAAGTTAACTAAAGTTGGTGCAATTGATACACTTTGTGACATTGTTATTTTGTTATTTCATGCAGGCAAAGGAACGATGCAGTGGAAGAAAAGTGMTACGATATACGATGGTGACTGGAAGGATGATAGAAGATGTGGTTTTGGAACCTACAGTGTTCGAGAAGGAACAGGGTTTAGAAAAATTTACTCTGGTGGTTGGAAGAACGACAAGAGACATGTACGGTTTAACGATAATTTATGTTACTGCTTTGCAAATATTGTGCCATTCCTTTAAGAGGAAATACAGGATTAAAAAGCATTATGCATGTCTTCAAATTTAATATTGTTTATTTGTTTAAAATAAATTCATTTGRCAATAAAGTCTCATTCATACATGTAGCAAAATACATCATCTTGAATATATTATTTTTCATTTCTAACTTTTCTTGCTGTATTTCAGGGTTATGGTACAAATTTCTATTCCTCWAGTGAATATTATGAAGGCGAGTGGTATGCTGATAAAAGAAGTGGTTGGGGTCGTATGTATTACAGTGATGGCTCTGTATATGAAGGTGAATGGTATGATGACAAACGAGATGGTGATGGTATGCTTAGACTAGGTAAGGTGTAGCTGTCTGCAATATCAAGGTGTATGCAATAAACCCTTTTAGCAACGATGTGTTCAATAAATTCGTTTATTGACKAACAGGCCGCACAAATGCAAGAGATCCATGAGTATAGTAGATAATGGAATTAGTTTGAAATCTCATGAGTTTTATTCAGATTTATGAATATTTTGCACACAATTGAGGCTAACACAGCATAAAAGAGATTGCGAAACTCAACTATTCCCGACGTTACCAAATAAAATCAGCTCTTTGATCATAAAAACCAAACCTGGAACATCAGTTAGACATATAAAATCATCTGTTTTCTTTTTCATTATAACTGCTTGGTACTCAGAGAAAAGCAACATATTTCTATCTTGATTTAAAATCATATTGTTCCAAAAAATAGAATTCATTTATTTAGCATGTTATTTACTAAATAATTAAATTTTGTTATCAGCAAATGAAAATCGCTATGAAGGAGAATGGAAGAATGGTRAAAAGCATGGCAAAGGAAAGTTTTTCTACTTAGACAAGGGTCAGGTTTATTGTGGTGTCTGGAGGGAGGATATCCCAAAAGGAGGCACAATGGAAGACTTTGGTCGCGATAGAGCTCCAAGCCCCACAACATATCCACTTCCTGAGGTATGGTTGTTTATAATTTACTGCTGGTCTCAAACACTTTATTTTTCTGAGAAATTTTGAGAATTGTCTCTTGCTCAAAACTTATATCAAAGCAAGACTACCTGTAGGCTTACAATACAAGTTCTTTTATAAAATTATATGCACAGTCAATAATTATTGCACATCAGCTGGTCGTTCCGATTCAATACAAAGATACTTTTACCTTTCGAGACATGAAGAACAGGCAGACTATCACTGATATACAATTACAAACTTTAAAAAAAACTGAATACTAATTTGCTGTCAATGTTTATGGTTTTAGTGCAAACTACAAGATTTCGATGGAGTAGTCAAAGAAACAGAAGAAACATTTTTAGATGATCAGCAATGACATAGATCCATTAACCATTATATTTCTGTACATAGAATTTAGCAAAATTAGTCAAGGACAACGGAAAGATATGTTCACAAAGGAACATCAGGATTTTCTCCTTTGAGAAAAACATAAGAAAGAACTGAACCTATCTGGTGTAGTTGATTTATACCAGACATTCTTCAAGTGGACATTGTTGTACAATTTGTAATATTTTTTMAATAATAAATTATTATAATAAAGCAAATAAATGAACAATTGACACAAATGTGTGCTGTATACTTTTTTATTTACAATAATATTATTCTTAGTAGTCACATACAGTTTTTGCATGAGTTATACTGAACTAAAGTCAAAACAGCAGCAAAGGACAGAGATGGCTTGATTTGCCAAATGAAACGACAGCTCACCATCATTGTTGGCTTCATAGCTCAGTAAGTAAAGCACTCCACTGCCATCCCATTTTTTTCAGAACAATCCTTAATTAACAATCAGACTTCACTACGATGATCATATGACATAACTATATCATCAACTATATGTTGGTTACATATACTGAGCCTGGGGGRATAGGATGGGAGAGTTCTCCCTTACTAAACCAGGTTAAAGATTTTAATGATCCTTTTAGTGTCRAAAGTAAGACCCTTGYATACCTTTTAGAGTTTRRGAGAGACTATTTGGTGYTTGTGGTCAGTTACAACTTTARCACAGGATATTTCAACTAGTCTTTTGTTATAAAAATCAAAAAATAATTCAAATTTTCTAGCTTGTACTTTTGTATGGAAATTCCTCCCCTAAATCCTAAATACACATTTGCTAATACTTTAATATTAAAATTTATTATCATAATTATTTTTCTATTTTTTTTTCTAATTCAGTTTTTATCTATATTGAAGTCTTCATTCAACTCAATCTTTATATATTTTTTGTGAATTTGGCAGCTAACAAATCATCAGGAGAGAAGTTAATTCATGGAATGACTTCAGCATACTTCTATGTGACAATGATGCTATGTCAAGAGTTCCTCAATGAGTAAACTTGTGTCACTTTTTGCCACTAATTGATTTTTCTGGTGTATATATGCTCTAAATTACTATGTTTTTCTTTCCCTTATGAGAAATCTCTGTCAGGGAAAAGTATTGGAGCCAGCAAAGTCCAAATGTAGATCAGCAAGCACAACCAGCTTGATATAATTTTCATCCAGACTGCTGCCTCGCTGTATTTTAGGTGGTCAAAGTTTGAACCTTGTGGTCTGTTGGAAAAAAAAAAGAATTAAAACATATTTTTGCTTTCAAATATCTATGGAATAAAAAGACTCACTAACTGTGCAACAAGCCCTTACTGTTGCAGGAAAATCTGTCATTTTGTATGATTTACAGTCGTTTGAAAAGAACTATAAGAAAAATATGTCTGGAATGTTTTATAACAAAAATTTTTTTTATATCTTTTATGATAAAAATCAAAACATATTGTAAATTTAAAGCTTACAGGTGGAGTTTATTGCCCTTAACATCTGAACATAGTTTATATGAGATTGTCTACAAACATTCTATTTAATAATTAGACCTTGAGTTCAAGTGGACTACGAGCTAATAGCCCATGAGGCCAAGTCCGCCAGACCGACTGGGCTATAGCTCGTAGTCCAGCAGGCCGAGAGGTCTAATTGTTTTAGTATAAACATATTACTAATTGGTCAAATAATGAAAACAAATTGAAATATCCTTAAAATAATTTATTAATGAGATGCCGCCATTTTGATTTTCCCACGAGTGGTCTATCACAAATTASACCATTAGTAGAGTAGCCAATCACAGCGCAGTATGAGTGATAGACCATTAGTATGTTTATACTAAACGTCTGTTATTTGGAACCAATACAACTTCCTTTGTTAAAGAAGATTAACTTCAGCAACAATGCCATTAGACCTACCTGTACCAATTTGTCAAAGTCATCATGATATACAGTGAAGCCAGGAACAACATGAAATGATAGAATGAGTAACTATAAGCCACTCCTTCTTCCTCATCRTCATACACTTGTCTACCATCTCCAGATTCTACCAAAGCAATGTCACTGCGTGTYTCRCCTTGTCCTTGTAAGACTGTTGGTTCAGTWTCATTAGAGGGGTGACTCAACTCTTGCTTTGTGCGCATACCAAGTCTTCCAACTTGTGAGCTACTGGAGGTGCGCACGCTGGCATAGATCACCATGACAAACATCAGCATGACTCCAATGATACCTTGGACATCCAGACCTTTTAGCGTGATGTCTGTTACATAGAACTGATTACATTTTTGATCTGGTAAACAGAAAGCAAAAAAGTCATTACTTTGTATCTAGTAGAGAGTCCTCTCTGACTGAAGAACAAAGATGTATTTAAGTTATATTAAAGTTCTTACAAGAAGTGAACAAATTCTTATATTTCTCTGTATTTTAAGCTACAATTGTTGCCAAAATACCTTGGATCATTCAAATATTTGCCTCAAGCCATACATTTTTCTTCTTTATTTTTCCAGTTCCCCCTCTGACCCTTTTATCAATGTTGGGTCTTGTTTTGGATGCTTGTGTACTATGGTAACATGATCAATGACAACATTGCATTTAGGGGCCTAGGGAAGATGAAAATATCTGCTGGTGTTGCTTAAAATAAGTAAATTTACTCAAATGGTCCAAGGATTTCGGAAACAATTGTAGTAGTACAGGATCTTTACCAGACTTTTTTTAAAAGTCAGTATTTTTTACTACTATAAAAGTACACTATCTCAATCGCACAAACATTATAAAAAAGCTTGATAATCTAACCTGGTTGGTATGACAGAGCAGACCAAGTCAAGAACACAGTGTAGAGAGTCACCACYGATGACTGCAATAACCCTAAAATAAATATTCACTATTAAATATTAAAAGTTGACAAATCCTATGACAACTATAGTGCTGGGAACTAGCGTTAAACTAGTGTGAGCTGGGTCGGTGTTTCTAAAGAAACAGTTGTGTAAAAAGATAAATTTAACACCGTAAAAAAGGATGTGAAATAAAAATTGAAAAGAAACAGTTGTGTAAAAAGATAAATTTAACACCGTAAAAAAGTAGGTGAGATAACTTACTGACGTCTGAGTAAAGACAAGGATTAACATCCGAAACGTCAGTAAGTTATTTCACCTATTTTTTACAGTGTTAAATTTATATTTTTACACAACTATGACAACCATAGTCCATCTTACCTGAAGTTGGAAGTTTATCCTGAACTTTAGGATGGATAGCCAACACAGATGCAATAAGACAGAGGATTAAGTTAAAACTGATAAAGAACTTGTTTGTATGACAAGAYGAATCCTTGGACTGTGTGTAGTACACATACAGACAAACAATTCCAGCAATGGAGACACCATACATYAGAAAAGTAAAAAACAAAAGCATGATGGCCCARAATTTWGAGCCAGTGTCCTCCATCTTGGATACCCAAGAAGCATTCCAGGTGTGTGCAAAGTCAACMAGTAAAATAAGTTGKATGATAATGAAGATGAAYGCACCAACAAGACCAACATACATCCATACTACAAATTGAATCAAATATTAAAGCAATCAGTACAAAAACACTGGATAAATGGGCACTTGGGAAATATAGTATATTGGTGAGAATAAAAAATAAYATTTCATTTACCTTCCGAAAATTGACCCTTTGGAATGAAGAACACACCAATAATGAAACCAAGAAACAATAAAATCTTTATTCCCCAGAAGCCATTATGTAAACCTGCTCGGCAATCCTTGCTGTCACTGACACTGTACATGATAATACAGAATAACAAGAAGAAAGCTGCCATAGCCAAACCAATTCTGTAGACTGCAAGATACCCTACAATTTGTTCACAACCACTTATTTTCTGGAAAAAGAAGAATAGCAACCATCTATAAGTCTTATAGCATTTTTAATTTCAGTAAAACAGTACGAAAATATATTAACTACAAAATTGATGAAAACTGTTTTTTCTTTAAGAAATAGTTAATTAAATTTCGAAGTAATTTTAAAAAATCAAGATTTAATACTCCATGTAATTTTCTATTTTTGACTATTTTTGTAATTTTTATGACGTATTTTGAGCTAATTATAAGCTTAAAGTTGCAGCAGCTTCCCAAAAACACATAAAATCTAACCTCGCACAGATAAGGTATACTTTTGAGTTTGTCCTTAACTCCAGGAATAAGAGCAACACAAGAAAGAATCAGACCAAATAACAGAAACAACGAGTACACAATTCGTGTGGATGTAGAATTTCGACATCTTGGACAAGCTYTGCAGCAGAGAGAACAAGCAGCSGAGCCACAGCAACATGCTAGACTTGCAGCACAAGATGCTGCTGAACAAACTCCAAGAACAGCTCCCATTTTCAGAGTGGAAATCGAAAATCAAATATACTTTGACCAAGCAGGAAACGAATCGATGAGTTTATGATTAACAGTGAAATACGTCATAGCCAAGTTAGCTGAAGCTGTCATATGAAAACCACATGAGTACACCACAGGAAACCCAAGCTAAACTTGAAAGAAATTATTAAATTTCTAGTAGTATTTCCTTTTTGAAATATTCACATGCATGCACTTTMTTCATTGTGATAATAAACTCTACATATATTAGTATCTATTTTAAAAAACATTTTTTTAATATAAAAAAGACATTTTATTTATCGTGGGTTACCTGTGGTCGATATGGCGAGTGAGCGGCGAGTCGTCGCAACCAAAGGTTAATATTCCTTTATTGTATCGAGTCAATCCTGTCATACACGCAAATCGAAGAAATKGCCCATGTTCATTTTTCAAGTCTTAAAGTGTGGTAAGGTCCGAACAAAGACACACTACTGCACTTGAGAAGTGACCTTGGAACACTGGGTCAAGGTAAATTTGTATTTATTAAAAAGAGAAAGATTTTGGTTGAAATGCCATCTTGTAAACGACCTTAAACACAGGTARGTAATACTTAATTACTTTTTTCACCATATGAACTGATGCATAATGCAAAATAACGATTTCAAAGAGAAGTTGATCATCTCGGTTATGATTGTATAATAACTTATAAGCCGGGTTTTCACACACTGGCGCGGCTATGTGACTTTTCGTTCGTTTATCAGTAACCAAAAATTTCCTTGTTATTTATATGACGAGAAATAAGTTGATGATTGTGGAATTTTCTGATCGATTTGTTTTGACCTTTTTATATCATGAACGTAATAATGAGCTCTTTCAGCAGGTATCAATCAGTTTGTGTTGTCTTAATGAGTTACCTAGAATTGCATAGGATTCCTGTCATCTTAGAAGAACACTTACTAAAAGTTTGTTAGAGCTAAAAAAAATCGATTTCTGGCAACTATGATGGCAATACACAGAATAGATTGTGTTTACTGAAGCACTTCGCACCAGTGGTGCATAAGGTCTACGTCCAGCTTCTTCCACCTCTCTTGGGTACAGAACTCTCCTCTCCTCTCCTCTCCTCTCCTCTCCTCT